CCGCACTTTCCGCACTTTCCGCACTTTCCGAGACGTCGACACGGCCGAGCGGAATATTGCAATTCCATCTCATCGCGCATCCGTGGCGCCGTCTGTCAAAGCGTAACGCTGCAACCGCGACCCGCCGACCTCCGCACCCGTCACCGCTCGTCCGGCTGCACAAAGACGGATTGACAAGTGGAATTGATGCAAGGTCCCACCGCGAGACGTCACGTCAGGCGATGCCAAACACGGCGCAGCAAACAGTATGCTCTGCACGCCCACAGAACGAGGCTCCTGCGTCGCCAATATCTTCAACCATCAGAGTGACTTTCTGAGAAGATAGGACCCTTCGTTGGCTTAACGAGGGCCAAGACTTGGAGGTGGAGGCGCGGCCACTCGTTCTGGCGCTTAACGCGGGTCGAGGCGGCAAGCGCGGCGAGAAATCCCAGGTCGAGCCCTGGCCAGCTCGTTTGTCGTTTGTAATGAGGGAGGAGGAAAGACCGGATTGATTCTGCTACTTCCGTTTGTAGTCTCGTTAAGAAAATCAAGTTGCCGACAGCTTGCAGCTCATGCGTGCTCTTGAGGTTGCAGTTGGCGGGCGAGTCATTTTGGCCCTCCTCAGACCGTGTCGTGTGTCTTTCGCTCCATTTTGGCCTTATCGTTGGCCATGTGCGAGCCATAGTCTCGCTTTACCCCGCATCAAACAGCTGCCACGGCCGCACTCGAGACTGAGTGCGTTATCAGGCCTCCGTCCAAACGCCCGCCTTTTTTGCAATTCGCTTCTGCCGGAGCCCACCTGATTGGTCACTGCCTCACGCCGAGCCCTCATCCAACTGGTCCGCGACGATAAGACTGCCTCCTCGCCCACGCTCATACCCACTCGGAAGCCGGTCTCCTGCCTGATCCACGCGGACCTCGTCAAGACGCTTGCATTTGCACTGCATCGCGGGCCTCCGATCAAGTCTCCGCGATGCCACCTGACCTTGCTCCTCATCCCAGGTCGACCTCAATGGTGCGCCGATATCGGCAGTCGCCCTTGGTGCTTGCGCGTGACTTGGGATGCTGCGACCCGGCAAAGCCCGTTGAGCAACAAAAGTACCGCAAACCATATCGTGTGAGCGGCAGCTCGAGCCGTTATCAGTGTGGGGTGAAGCTCGTCCGTCTTGAGCCTCCGACGCAGCGTCTTCTGACTCCGTTGCCGCCGCTTCGCCCTGCATGCATCCAGCCTTCCCCGGTATCGCCGCGACCCAGTACCCTTGCCGGTGCAATGTCCCTGGTGCCGGCCTCTGAACTAGGGTTGACTGGGGATCTCCACCTGCATCATCAGCCGATAGCTGTTCACTTTGCCCTCGTTAAGCCATCCCTCGCTCTGTCCGGCAGCGGGTCAGAGCTCCGCCTGCCGTGTGCCTGGCTGCGCCCAACTCTGCCGCTTTTCATCCTCCGCCCGCTCGTATCATCCCAATCCCTCGGTTCTCGTGTGCCTAGGCCCCTTGGCGAGAAACATCCACCGGTCGCTCCCGCCTTCGGCACCCATCTTCCTTATCGCCCATCACATGCCCACTCGCTGCGTCTCAAGACTTCGTTGTCCCTTCACCCCCTCAACCCTCGTATCTTAGGGCTCCGGCTTCAAACAACGCACATCGTCTCAGCCTTCTTCGTACCACTCTTTGAACAAGTGCTCATAAACACCTTGATCGGCCACGTTCCACCTCGTCCGCTTCGCCCCTTCATCATCGCTGGACACCTTTTCCCCTTCTCAAGCCTTCTGCCGCAAGTCTGCAAGTCAGCCAAGAAACCTAGCTTTACTCAACACACCGGCTCGACCCTTGCCACCTACCGGTCGTCAGCTTGACTCTCCCTTCTACACGTTGACATTCGCTCCGTTTAGTGAATGACCGTAGCTTTGCAAACGTCTCCGTTTGCCTGGATCCTCTTCGCGGACCATCCCTCGTCCCGCGCTCTGCCCTTCAAAGGCTCTTGAACAGCCTTCTTTACCTCAAGCCATCTTCTAACTCAACCAAATCCACTTTATCGCTCCTATGGTCAGCACCGACAAGATCGATTCGTNCTCTGCCCTTCAAAGGCTCTTGAACAGCCTTCTTTACCTCAAGCCATCTTCTAACTCAACCAAATCCACTTTATCGCTCCTATGGTCAGCACCGACAAGATCGATTCGTACTCCAACGATGCCAAGGGCTCGTCGTCCGACATCATCCATGCCTCGACCCCTGGCAACCATGTAGCTCCGCTCAGCGCCGCGCCCGCTGCCGACGGTCCTGCCGGCACGGGCCCCGGTAAGATGCATCTCTCGAAGAACTTCATCGAGCAGGCCGATGCCGAGCTCCTCGCCGCGCTCGGATACAAGCAAGAGTTCAAGCGAGAGTTCTCGTCCCTCGAAGTCTTCGGTATCGCCTTCTCCATCATGGGTGTCGCGCCGTCCATCGCCTCGACGCTCATCTACTCGCTCCCCAGCGGCGGTCCCATCAGCATGGTCTGGGGATGGTTCATCGGTTGCTTCTTCATCGCCATCACCGGTCTGGCTCTCGGCGATCTCTCGAGTTCGATGCCTACTTCGGGAGGTCTGTACTACTGGACCTACACGCTGTCAAGCCAGAGGTACCGAAGGTTCCTCTCTTGGACCGTCGGCTACGCCAACACGCTCTCCACCACCTCGGCAGTCGCGAGTATCGACTGGAGTGTGGCCATCATGATCCTCGCCGCCGCTTCGGTCATGACCGATGGACGCTACGTGCCCACGGACGGGCATACCTACGCAGTCTACCTCGGAGTATTGCTGATGCACGCGGTGCTGACGTCGATCGGCACGCGTGCACTGGCTAGGTTCCAGACCGTTGCCACCGTCATGTGCGCTGGTCTGGCCGTGGCCATTTGCATCGTGCTGGGCACGGCCACTCCGTCCGAGTACCGCAACTCGGCCTCGTACGCTTTCGGTGGCTGGTACAACGAGACGGGCTGGTCGAACTTTGGCGCGTTCCTGCTGGCGTTCATGACGCCCGCTTGGACGGTGGCGAGCTACGACTCGTGCGTGCACATCTCGGAAGAGGCGAGCAACGCCGCGCGTGCCGTGCCCATGGGTATCTTCTTCAGCATCGTCTCGAGCGGCATTCTCGGCTTTGGCATCATGGTCGCCCTCGCCTTCAACATGGGCACCGACCTCGAGCCCATCGTCAACTCGGAGTACGGCCAGCCCATGGCGACCATCATCCTCAACTCGGTCGGCAAGACGGGCTTCATGGTCATCTGGGTGTTCATGATCATTGTCAACTTTATGATGGGCGCTAGCATGAACCTCGCTTCGTCGCGACAGATCTTTGCCTTCAGCCGTGACGGTGCGCTGCCGTTCAGCGGATGGGTGTACCGCATCAACAGCTACACGCTCACCCCGGTCAACAGCGCGTGGTGGTCCAGCGCCGTGTCGGCGGTGCTGTGTCTGCTGGGTCTGGTCAACTCGGTCGCCGTAGGCGCTGTCTTCTCGCTCTCGGTCATCGGCGCATCGATCGCCTACACCATCCCCATCGTCGCGCGCCTCATCGCTCCCAAGGACAGGTTCAAACCCGGAGTGTGGTACCTCGGCGACTTCTGGTCGTACGTTGTCGGCTGGATCAGTGCTGTCTGGCTCACCTTCATCACGGTCATCGTCTGTCTGCCCTCGTACATCCCCGTCGAGGCTGCGGCCGACATGAACTACGCGTGCGTCGTGACAGTCGGCACGTTCGTCTTCAGCTCGGCGTGGTACTACTTCCCCAAGTACGGCGGCGTCAACTGGTTCCAAGGCCCCAAGTCCAACATCGACGACGAGGAGGTTGCCGCGCACCAGGTTGCCACCCAGCTCCAGGCCGACGAAGACGCAAAGAAGGCCAAGACGCAGCAGGAGGCGCTCAACCAGACCGTTCAGGTCGACGACTACACCGGCTAGAAGCTTGTCTAAAGGAGATTTCGTCTTGCAATGTATATTTCGCTGTGCAGTTACGTTTCACGGGGCCGATTGAGTGGGCTGTGTCGGTGGCTGGAGCTTGGGAAGAAGCGCTTGCCCGGCTCTGTAGACACACGGCCTGAGGCGCGCGGCGAGCTTGCGATCTTCGATCCCGATCGAGCGTTCGAAGGCGGTCATGATATCGGCGTGGGCGAGGAGGTCGAAGCACTCGTCCGTGCACAGGTATTGCTGCGTAGCTTGGTTCTTGAGGCGCTGGACGTCCGCGGGCGATGCGGCCTCGAGCACTGGATCCTGGCGAATGCCCGATCCCGACACCCCCGCCGTCGGCGTAGCGGGCTTGCTTGGTGCGCCCGGCTTGATGGGTGTGGCTTTCGACGGCGTGGATGCCGACGAGCTCAGGCCAGAGATACCTCCAAACAGCTGGTCCCATCCGCTCATGCTCTTGCCGAACGCAGGTTTGCCTGTCGACGCAGGTCGCTTGGGCGCCGAGGCACCTGCAGCGCCAGTCGGTGTCGAGGTGCCAGACTTGACGGCGCCGCTGGGTCGGAACGCATTGGCTTGCGGATTCAGCTTGGTGCCCACCGACGCACCGGGTGGTTTGAGCGACTTGTCCTTGGCAGCGTCGATCGAGGCGCGCATGCGCGCTTCCGCAGACATGCCCTTGTTTGCCGCCGTCGAAGCAGCTGCAGCGCCCGCTTTCTTCGCGCCGCTCGCCGATGTGGCCTTGGCCGCGCTACCGCCAGCTCCCCCAGTTGATTTGCGCCCTCCTGATTTGGCGCCACGGGCGGATTTCGACTTGGCAGCTCCTCGGCGACTCGATGCGCCGTCCTGCTCAAAGTCGTCCTCACTGTCGGCGGCAGCGGCCGCATCGAGCTCCAGGTCGTCTTCTTCCGAGGCGACATCGACCATCTCTTCGTCCTCGTCATCGTCGTCACTGTAGTCGATGGTGTTCCTGGTGTTGCGCGCCGGTCGAGCATCCGCCCGCCCGCCGTCGGCAGCGTTGTCGCTAAGCTTAGCTCGTTTCCTCTGTGGAGCCTCTTCGGCACCCTTGCCGGTACCCTCTTCCTCGTCTTCCTCGTCGTCTGCCACGACAACACGCCGTCTCCCTGTGGGCTTGTTGCGATAGTCCCGACCCCGCTTGCCCGTCGATCGACGTCTGGCGCCTCCAAGACCGTCGCCATCTGCTGCTTCCGCGTCGGGCATTGCTTCGTCTCCTGGCGCAGCATCCTCTGCCAATGCAGACCCTCCTGGAACCTCTTCGTCGTCGTCCGCCAGGTCTCTGAGCCCGTCGGCAAACTTGTTCTTGCCTCGTGGCTT